GACTCGCTGACCGCGGGTTCTATCCCCACCCGTGGTATGGTTTGTTTGCAATCGTGTCATTACGATTTCGTGAGTCATGTAAACTCAATATATAAACACTGAAATGCAAAATAACCACAGTGAAAACATTGTGCTATTCTAAGCGCTATCACATTATCAAGGAATTCCACTATTTTTTCAGTGTGGTTATTTTGCATATTGTAATATCACCTGTTTACTGTGATCTTATTGTATACACTGAGATATATACATCTCTCAGTGTATATATGCTGTGTTATGGTTTATATAACCTTGTTAAATATTTATACTGGTAAACATGAACAATCCTTGCAGATTATAACCATGGTTGACATAGATCCTGTGTTCCAGCTTATAAACTAAACATTTAGTTTAACATTCTCTGTCTCTCTCTCTGTCTCTCTCTCTGTCTCTCTGTCCTCTTCTCGTCTCATCTCTGTCCCCTGTCCTCTGTCTCTGTCTCTCTGTCTCTGTCTCTGTCCTGTCTGTCTCTCTCCTCTCTCTCTCTCTCTCTCTCTCTCTCTCTCTCTCTCTCTCCTCTCTCTCTCTCTCTCTCTCCTCTCTCTCTCTCTCCTCTCTCCTCTCTGTCTCTCTGTATCTCTGTCTCTCTCTCTCTCTCTGTCTCTCTCTGTCTCTCTGTCTGTCTCTTTCTCTCTGTCTGTCTGTTCTGTCTGTCCTGTCTGTCTGTCTGTCTTGTCTCTCTCTGTCTCTCTCTCTCTCTCTCTCTCTCTCTCTCTCTCTCCTCTCTCTCTCTTTTCTCTCTCTCTCTCTTTCCTCTCTCTCTCTCCCCTCTCTCTCTCTCTCTCTCTCTCTCTGCCCTATTTTAGGGATAACTCAGTAAGTTCATTCAGGTATGCACAATTATATAGATTATCATACACAGCAGCATATGCGTAAAGAACCTAGGATAACACAAAACAGTCAGGCAAAGTCCTTATATTAACCTTGATCGGTAGTGTAGGTAGAGGTATACAGATATACAGAACAGTCTTTGCATTGAGGCAACGTTTCGCTCAGGGCAGAACTTTATGAAGTCGATTTGAGCAAAATGTAGTCCTGTACCCATACATGTCTGCATTGAGCCAGTACATTGATAGTGTATAGTCTATGAATAGCCTTAGTGACCTTAATTAACTTTTAAAGTTTCGCTTTATTTCAAGGTTTATCAAATTAGACAGAACGAAACGTTACGTGTTCAAAGAGGAGGTACCAATGAGGAAACGGGCGAAATTATTTACAGATATTACCTTTCTGCCCACAGCTGTATGTCAGTCCCAGCTGGGACACTTTAATGGTCTCAGAAAATGAAAAAAAAAGACACATGTGCAACATCTGGGTATCTTTATTGTAGACGTTTCACCATCCAGTGGCTTTATCAGTACAAATTCTAGGACATAATTTGAAGACAGTAGAACTGTATACAAAAGATGAGGTAATCAGTCCCTCAGCCTTGAAGTTAGTGTGAAGAGCACCATAATCGTGGAGAATCTGGAGCACAGGTTATGTTAGGTTAGGTAAGGTTTGTCAGGAAACACTTGTCCTGTTTCCTGACACGGGTCTTAGTCAGATGATGACCCGCCTTTGGAGCTTTTGGTCATCTGTAGTCAGATGATGACCCGCCTTTGGAGCTTTTGGTCATCTGACCGAGGCCTTCCGCTGGCTTACCGGTCCACCCCTTTAAAAATTATGGTCAGTTACAACCATTTTAATTATCTACTGGAGCACAGGCAAGGACGCTGGTGCTTATATACGTCAGATGGAAAGGGACATGTAGCAGACGAGGGTATAGTCACTGGTAGAAGGGACTCCCCAGTGGGAGTAGATCATACCCAAAGAGATGGGTTAGTTGTAGTAGTAATTGTCGTAGCCGTGAAGAAGGTTATGTACATGTCCTCAGAATCAAGATTCCATGATGTTGCAGTGTCTGACAAGTTGTACAAGAATGGTATACAATACCATTGTCTGTCCCAATTACTGGATCACTACGACAAGGTCCTAGATGCACTAGAAGACAAAAAGAATGCAGATGTAATATATACAGACTTTGCAAAAGCCTTCGACAAGTGTGACCATGGCGTAAAAGCTCACAAAATGCGTGCCAAAGGAATAACAGGAAAAGTTGGTAGATGGATCTATAATTTCCTCACAAACAGAACACAAAGAGTAGTAGTCAACAGAGTAAAGTCTGAGGCGGCTACGGTGAAAAGCTCTGTTCCACAAGGCACAGTACTCGCTCCCATCTTGTTTCTCATCCTCATTTCTGACATAGACATGGATGTCAGCCACAGCACCGTGTCTTCCTTTGCAGATGACACCCGAATCTGCATGACAGTGTCTTCCATTGCAGACACTGCAATGCTCCAGGCGGACATCAGCCAAATCTTTCAGTGGGCTACAGAAAACAATATGAAGTTCAACGATGAGAAATTTCAATTACTCCGATATGGTAAACATGAGGAAATTAAAACTTCATCAGAGTACAAAACAAATTCCGGCCACAAAATAGAGCGAAACACCAATGTCAAAGACCTGGGAGTGATCATGTCGGAGGAACTCACCTTCAAAGACCATAACATTGTATCAATCGCATTTGCTAGAAAAATGACAGGATGGATAATGAGAACCTTCAAAACTAGGGATGCCAAGCCCATGATGACACTCTTCAGGTCGCTTGTTCTATCTAGGCTGGAATATTGCTGCACACTAACAGCACCTTTCAAGGCAGGTGAAATTGCTGACCTAGAAAATGTACAGAGAACCTTCACGGCGCGCATAACGGAGATAAAACACCTCAATTACTGGAAACGCTTGAAGTTCCTGAACCTGTATTCCCTGGAACGCAGGAGGGAGAAATACATGATTATATACACCTGGAAAATCCTAGAGGGACTAGTACCGAACTTGCACACGAAAATCACTCACAACGAAAGCAAAAGACTCGGCAGACGATGCAACATCCCCCCAGGTAAACTCCAGGTAATACCATTCTTGTACAACTTGTCAGGTTTCAGAAAAGTTTAACTCGATTGGTAGCACATTCTTCTCACACATTGTAGGTCCGGGGATCGATTCCCGGTAAAGCTGGAAACATTAATAATAATAATATAATATCTTTATTTCTACAAGTACATGTACAAGGTATACAGACCTAACACATCAATGACACTGCTATATAGAAAGTCGCTTGTTATGCAGAGCATTTCGGGCAAATTAGGTCAGTTTTGTCCCATGATGCGACCCACACCAGTCCACTAACACCCAGGTATCCATTTTACTGATGGGTGAACATAGACAACCAGTGTAAAGAAACATGCCCAATGTTTCTACCCTCGCCATGTGAAGCGAGAACTTTAGCCACGGGGCACTGTATCCTTAAGACAAGACACCTGCTGTCCATGTTCACCTAGCAGTAAAATAGGTACCTGGGTGTTAGTAGACCAGTGTGGGTAGCATCCTGGGACAAAATTGATCTAATATTCCCGAAATGCTCTGCATAACAAGCGACAAGTACATGTAGAAGGTATACAATCTTCGCTGATATACTTACCAGCGAAGATTGTATACCTTCTACATGTACTTGTAGAAATAAATATTATTATTACTACTACTATTACTTACAAATGAGTTCACATATTAATATAAATTTCCATAGTTCTGAGGGCGCATAGATGTATCTTAGTTTATCTTACATAATTCGAAAGCTATGGAGATTTAACCCAAGCTGACCTAATGAAGTCAAATACTCTGACTTATTTATACTGGTTTCCTTGTTTAATATATACTGCCTATTATGCCTTGCCATCTGACTAAAAATAGGATAGTCTCACTCGTCGGGTGTCTCTAAATTAGGTATCGCCTTTGTATTCCTAATTTCTCTTAAATATTCAGAAAATATGTCTCTGTAATACATTTATTTACGTTATATTATTTTATCCAAGGTGAATCGTAGGAATCATATAGCCATCGGGGAGTCCAGGGGAATTATGTTTGATCCAGAGAAGTGGAGGATAACTTAATTGTTTGAAATTATTATTATAAAGAAGCGCTAAACCTACAAGGGTCATACAGCGCAGAATTATTTGAAAGTAGCAACCCTTCACAGACATCAATCCTGCCCTCCCCACCATTGATGGTATTATTACTGAAGTGGGTTTAATTTTTGTTATGCAGACCTAAATTAGCGTATATCAAGAAGTAACTTCTGATCACATAGTACAATAACATATTTCTTCCTTAGTAGGACACACTAATTTGTAATAATTTTAGTCTCATAAAAGTCCCATCAACCCGATTTGTGAGCGAGGGGCCCCTTTGCTGGTTCCTTCTTGATTCTACTCTCCCTACTTACCTACTTAGTGCTACTTTTCCAATTGACTCTTGAGTACCTATATAACCACTCAGAGTAGAGGTCCAACATGACGTTATTCCCACTTATGTGTGTTTTTATCTCTACTCGTTATTCCCACTTACCTTTTATCTTTCCCTTTTTTTTACTGTCTTATTCAATGGACACATGTGTTGACCCACTGCTTCTCAAGTGTTTATATCTTATCATAACTCTCTTCCCCCCCCCCCTCTCTCTCTCTCTCTCTCTCTCCTCTCTCTCTCTCTCTCTTTACACAAGGTTAGGTTAAGGTTCACAACTTTATTTACAAGCTGAAAGCTGTTACGTCCATTTGAAAGCCTTTTTATTGTTATGAAATACACAGATAAGGAACAGGGTGAAGTTGAAGCCATCTGTGGGCCAGGAACTTTATTTGGTCATCTGACTTTATTTCGTTGATGTCGTTGTGCTGTACGAACATGTTCCAGACACGAGTCATCATTATTCCAAGGCTGACTCGTGTCTGGAACATGTTCGTACAGCACAACGACATCAACGAGATATAATAAGTGACCAGATGAAGTCGCTGGCCCACAGATGGCTTCAACTTTTAAGAATCACACTACACATGTAATATATTATGTATTTGTGTATCCAGGGCGAGTGGGACGAGTGACGAGGAAATGGCACGCTTGGTCAAGCAAGTAAGCATTGAGAGCCCCAGCCATAAGCTCAAGGATTGTATATTTAGCTTCGAGACTCCTATGCCAGACACACCCCAGCAGGTGCCAGAGTCAAGGTACGTTCATAATTGACTGGTTTTTCTATTTTTCCACGTGGCCTGGTAAGCAACGCTCTTGCCTTACACACTGAGCGTGGTTCGATCCCCGACCGGGTGGAAATGTTGGCCATGTTCCTTACACCTGTTATCCCAATTCACCTATCAGTAAGTAGGTACCCGGGTGTTAGTCGACTAACGTGGATGGCATCCTTGGAGACAAGATTGAAAGACTACAATGGAAACAAGACAGTTATCCTGGGTGGCTAACTCTTAAGGGTGTGGGAAAAACCAGCTGTGAGGGAACGAGAGGTGGACAAGAGTGGCAGAGGACTGAAAAGAGAAGTAGGAGAGGTTGAAGGGAATCAACAATCAGATGGGTGAACAGGAAAGATAGCTGGACAAGGTTCAGATGAAAGGGTGGAACGCAGAGTTGGAAGAGGAGCAATAGGTAAAGGAGAAATGAAAGGAGGGTAAGAGAAGAAAAGAAGGGGGAGTGAGGTGGATGTCCTTGATATTTCATCTAGAGCTGCTGGTGTCCTTATTGAATCAGCAGTACAATGAGGGTAAAGAAGCACAAGAGAATGAGTGGTAAAGACAGAGTATGTACTCATCTAGTTGTACTCGCCTAGTTGTGGTTGCAGGGGTCGAGTCATAGCTGGGTGGGAGGAGAGTTGTTAGGTAATGGTTTAGGTGAATTAGTGGAAAATAACTGTTTGGTGTCAGGGATACAGATGAAGAGAGTTTTATTTGAACTATTAATCTGGAGGGTTAGTAACTGAAAAAAAAAAAAAACAAGAACCGAGGCTTTATTTCTGTTGTAGTCCTTTTGGTCCTCTTCCTAAGGATGCATCCCACAGCAGTCGATTAGTACTCAGTGTACCTATTTACCCTTGGGTGAACAGGAACAACAGGTGAAAGGAAACATGCCCAATTTCTCCACCCTACTCAGAATCGAACCCAAGTGCTTTGGTTGTGAGCTGAAGGTGCTACCCTCTTTTGAGACACAGATTACTAACCTTACCCAACTGCAGGCAACAGCAATGTACATTGGCTTTCTGGCCAGCCTGAAAAAAAAACACTTATTCACCCAAGATAACTAAAAAAAAAAGTCAGCGTGACCTACTGTCATTGCTGGTTCTTCAGCAATTGGTGTAGGTCCAAATTATTATTATTATAATCAAAAAGAAGCGCTAAGCCACGAGGGCTATACTGTAGGGTCCAAAGCATTTGTAGAGTGGATTGGAGATAATCCCAGCAATCCTTTTATTTATTTGTTTAGAGAGAGAGAGAGAGAAGTCAGCCCAGCCAAGGAGAGGTCTGGGGAACAGATGTCGGCTGGTAGGCCAGTATGGGAGAGAAGCAGAACCTTGGGTGCAAATGCTCAGCCGAACTGGGTTTTGTCGCCAAATGGAAGGGCAGTCATATAGGCCTAGTGGGGGGGGTTACAAAAGGCTGGTAAGCAGTCTTACATTATCTAGTCAGGACTTCAGTGCCAACTTTGGAGAAGTACAGAAATGCTGACTCAGGTGAAGAGGCATCCGGTTCTGATAGTGTTAAGGCCTGGGGTTCACCTGTCTCAAGGACTTGTGAATTGGCCTTGATGGACATTTGCTCTACTCCTGCCTTCAGCATCATTAACGAATTTTTCCCTTTTTTCTTCCCCTGGAATGTTTTTCCCCATCAGTCCTCTGCACAGTTGATCCAGGCACTATACATCAGATCCTTCTAGGATAATGGAAAGCCTGTTGTTGTGGACTCGCATAGGGATGTTAAGCAATGGAATCCACCTAAGTTAATTAGAGACTTATTGATCCATTTTCTCTTTCCTTGGGAAACTTTATTTCCCTTATAATTCTTACCTATATTTTAGCAATTTTTTTTGACTCTCAGAAAGCAGGGTTCAGTAACCATGGGTTATCCCAGGTTCTCTACACATATGCTGCTATGTATGATAATTCTATGTAACTGTATTTTTGTATAGCTAAATAAACTTACCTACTTGCCACCCCATTCAAGGATCCCCATTTGTCCTCAACAGTTAATCTGTTTGCTGTGTTAATTTTAGAGGCTATTTTAAATTACTGTACTGTATTATAAAATTTATTGGGATCCCTAAACTCGTAAAGAGAATGACAGGTAATCAGAGATCTGAGGAAGTGTAGGATAGCTCTAATTCCTTGGATCAAGGCCAGCGAGTACCTTTTCATGTAAGGAATTGGACCTGTGCTCCCCATCCTTGGATTGAACCTGAATACCTCCCATTCCTCTCTCCAGGCACTGTATGATCCCATCAGGTTTGGTGCTCCAGCATGACTAATAATCCATGGACTAAGGACATAGCACTACATAAAAAGGGTCATGGCTAGGCAGGGAAGGTGACACTCAATATACTATAGCAATATTGCTTCTGAATGATGTAGGTCAGCGGCTCGCGAGCCACTATTAATAACAAGATATGCAGGCTAATCCCCTCAAGGAAGGTTCCTTGATGTTGGTGAGGGGCTCTTGATTTAGGGAATTGGATCTGTGCTCCAGTTCCCCAAATTAAGCCTGAATGCCTTCCACATCCCCCCCAGGCGCTGTATAATCCTCCGGGTTTAGCGCTTCCCCCTTGATTGTAATAATAATAAGAAGATATGCAGGCTAATATTGCCATGTCTAATTTTTCTCATTTACTATATTGCACTAGCAGCTCAGTACTACTTAATTTAGTTGAGTTACGCTAACTTGCAGTAGCTGCAGCTCTCTCAATCAAAGTGTTTCACCGAAGCGGCTCTCTTGCAAAAATTAGTGAATAACACTGACGTAGGTAAAGCCAACAACACTTCAGTTAGTGGTGATAACACGCTTCAGGCTGATAGTTATACTGATAATTCAAGAGTAATTGTGCTGGAGTGTTATTGTTCATCTGCCTCATATATTGTACACAAACAGTTTTTTAGATTATATAATAAGGAGTCGGCAATTGAGATTCTGAAGCATGTTTTTCTTTATTCATTGCTTGAAGTTTTGCAGTGCCTCTGTCTAAATCTCAAGTAGGCCCGGTGGCCTGGTGGCTAAAGCTCCCGCTTCACACACGGAGGGCCCGGGTTCGATTCCCGGCGGGTGGAAACATTCGACACGTTTCCTTACACCTGTTGTCCTGTTCACCTAGCAGCAAATAGGTACCTGGGTGTTAGTCGACTGGTGTGGGTCGCATCCTGGGGGACAAGATTAAGGACCCCAATGTGAAATAAGTTAGACAGTCCTCGATGACGCACTGACTTTCTTGGGTTATCCTGGGTGGCTAACCCTCCGGGGTTAAAAATCCGAACGAAATCTTATTCTTATTCTTAGCCTTTAATTAAGCATTAGGGCTAGTTTGCCCGAAATGCATTACATACTAGTGATTTTCTTTTGTGCCTACCAATGTTTTGTTACATGTAAACTGCATTACAGTATTTTGTACCACATAAATAAAAAATTTGTATTTGACTTCTTTAATATGAAATTGGTGTACTTTAGTACCACAAAGTTGTTATCACTTTATATCCATCACGAAGCACTAAACCCACTGGAGTCATACATTGCTAGGGGAATGGGAGGTAATCAAGTTGACTCAAGGGGAGGGTAGATTCAATTAAATTTATCAAGGGTCTACTAGTAGAGTGATATAGTTTAGTGAACTTTGAAAGGAATTCAGAAAATGTGTCATAACCTGTCATATAAATATGACCAGTGTCTTTATGTTCATCCGTTAAAGTTGTTTTTAATAGTGTGTTTGTGTTTTGCTTTGCCATCCATTGCATGCACATCCCAGGGTAATAATATGTGCTTGAGTTATAATCAAGCCATTAAATACCTTCTGCTCTATACTGACTGGATTTATTATGTGAGTAAGATACAGTATACATATTATAATATTTGAAAAATTCCCAGGTAGACAAAACATCATAATAAAAAGCCATAACCTATATATTATGTCTTATTTACACACATACTGTTGGCATATTTTACTGCTAATGGATAACTTAAAAAAATGTTGGACTATCAGCTCTGACAAATCTCACAAGGGTGCTGGATGATTCTCCATGAGCTGATCATGTGTGAGTGGTGTGTACCCATTATCCAGTCACTTGAGCAAGTTTTCCCTCAATCGGCAGTGACAGGAGGACCCCAGTGGAACTAGGTCACTTTAATTTTTGGGGATTATCCTAGGTAATTTACACATTATGATGTCAGACAATTGTAATTATGCCTAAAGACTGTGTAATTGTCCTTCAATAAACTTAGAGTAAATCACCACCTTTCACGTTTGTTATGCTCCAGAAAAACAGTGCTACACTTGCAAAAACAAGGGGTGGAGTTAACAACTTATGGGAAAAATTGGGTTGTCTTCCATTCTGCAGCCAAAAGAGTCAGTCAGCTTTTAAATACATACACCTAAAAAATAAATTAAGCATTCTACTGTGATTTTAAAAGTACACTGATGTTATGGACACATTAAAGCATGATAATACAGTATGATTTAATCCAGTATATCCTATTAAAGTCAAGCAATGTGAATACATTTACTTTAAATTTTGGTTGTTGTTGCTTAAGTGGCTTGGTGTTAGTGGAGAGGGTTGGTATGGCCCTACTGGGCCACAGATGAGGTGCAGGGCTGGGGTTTGTGGGCTAAAGTGGATGGCTGGGGTTCATGGGCTGAGGTTAACACAGAGTTGTTTCTTATGGTAGCTCTCAAGTATTGTCATGCATCTCTGCTGTATTAACCTGTAATACTTTATAAGGCTGATGGTAAGGCATCATTGTCTGGTCCAGCATCCACTTCAGAGCAGTGTCAGGGTCCTCTTCATTGAAAAAATCTGCAAGTTTAGCAGCAACATGGAATTGCTCATGTATCTCTTTTAATGTTCACTGTTTCTCTGCAGACTCTTCTTCTATTATCTGTTTCCCTTCTATTTGGGAAGTGAATTCGACCAACATTTCCTCGGAACATTTTTCTTCCTTGTTATCTATTTAGAGTTCATTGATGACTTCTAGCTGCATATCTTCAAAGCCCCTCACCTGGCAATCTCCTTGCCAGGTCAATAATTTTCTGGAATTGACTTTCAGCTGAGGGAAAACCTGTGAAATTATTCACCATCTTAGGTCATAATTTTCCCCAGCCTGCATTTATTGTTAGATTGGGCACATTATTGCATGCAGCTTTGATGTGGGGTAATGCATTTGCAGTGTTGAACTTACACCAGAACTTGGGCTGTTCAAAGCCTGAGTCATTGTCTATTACTTCAAGGAGTCTCTGCGCTGCTCAGTAGGTGTAGATACAATTAAATATGATTTAATTACACCTTGCAGAATTATCAAGAGTCAGGAGAATCATGAATGCAAGGTTCTTGCTGTGCAGATAAAAAATGACTTCAGGAATATAATGATGCTTGAACCAGTCAAGAAATAAGGCCTCAGTCATCCATGCTGACTGGTTTGACTGAAGATAACAGGCACAGTAGTTTTGTCTTTCCAATTTAAAGCATGGGGGGTTCTTTGAACGATAAACGAGCATGGGTCTTCACTTCGTCACATTTTGCATTAGCTCACAGCAGCAAAATAGTCCCTTGCTTCTCTGAATCCGGAACACTTTCCTCTTGCTTGCTGATGTAAGTTCTAAAAGACTTTTTTTTTTCCAAAGCAATCTTGTCTCATCAGCATTAAACACTTGTTCATGTGTGTAGCCACCATCAGAGATAGTTTCCACCTACTCAGCAATGTAACATTCAGTGGTGAGAGTGCCTCTCACCACTGAATTTTACAATATGAAGCCTACTGTGCACCTTAACATTATTAAACCATGCATGGCTAAAGGTACACTGAGATGCAGAATTTTCTTCCTGTTCTCATGCTATTCACACAGATCACAAGGAAGTTAAATGGCACACATTTCTGTTTTCTCTTGACATATTGCTTTCCTGTTTTTTCAACGGGTCACAGTTTGGTTATTTATCACATAAGCTTTTTTCTTCTTATTGTCTCAAAACGAATGCATTATTGACTCCCCTTACACCATAGACTTTGGATGCATCACCCACATGTGCACCATCTTTCAACATATCTATTACTTCTACTGTTTTCACTAGGTTTCATTTTAGATGCCATCTCCAGACACAACATAGGATGATGAAAAGATCACAAGTGGAATGTTAACACAGAAGAGATTAATTATATGGTATGCATCCAAGAGGTAACTGGTGGTGACATGGGTGAAGGACAGAGGGATGGGTATAAACAAAGCTAGGGCTACCATGAAATAAGAGGCCTCAGACATGTAGGAGGGGAAATGGCCTGCCTGAGCTGCCATGATGGTTGGCCACGTCGGAGAACAAGGTGGAAAAGGGTAGGCCTCCCGTGAAATGTGGAGAGCCTTTGCATTATTATTATTATAATCATGGGGAGCACTAAACCTGTAGGGATTATACAGTTCCTGGGGAGGGGGGTGGAAGTTATTCAGGCTCAATTCAGGGAACTGGAGCACAGATCAAGAGCCCCTCACCAGTGTCAAGGAACGTCCCTTGACGGGTAGAACCTTTGGAGTGAAAGAAGGAAATAGATACAAACAAAATGAATCATGAACAAGTGGAAACGCAGTAGGTTGAGGTGGGAAAGATAGTAGTTTACTGTAATTGTAATGTGTGTTAACATTGTGAATGTATTTTGTGTTTTAGGTTCGTAACGCTGGTGTGTGTTACCGCCTGAGGTCAGCATCATCATCATCCAGCATTAAGTCTGTTGAAGCACTCCACTGTGGGTCACCCCTTCATTCTTGTGTCAGGGACACGGCACTCTTCCCTGGATATGAGGTTAGTCACATAACTCAAAGTACAAAGAAAAGTCACAATACTGTAACTGAAACAATACACAAATAACCCACACATACGAGAAAGAAACTTGTGACAAAAGTCATAAGTTTCTTTAATTTATTTGTGTATCACATAATTTAAGTTGGTGTATACTATAACACAACCCTCAGGCTAACTGCCAAACACAAGTGCGCATGTACGCTACATCTGCCACACAACGTTAAGTTGCAGGGAACATGAATTGACTACCTACACACCAACAAATATATACATGTATATCTATATATAGATATGCGCCACATCCACCACACTTTAAATTGCCAGAGACATAAGCTGATCATTTACAGACCAGTGAACATATATGCTACATCCACCAAATATTACACACTGCAGGAGACATTAATACACCAAAATGCATTTCATACCTAGTGCCTTTCTTTTGTTCCTACCATTGTTTTATTACATGCAAACTACTATATTTTTGTGCCACATAAAGAAATAAAAATTTGTGTTTACACACCAACAAATGTATGCATGCCACAACCACCAAGCACAGAACATTGCCAAATATATGAACTTCTGTTTGATAAAACAGTTTGGATTGTGTAGTTTTTAACTAAAATCATTAAGACACATTTTAATGTTGACTTAGCTATACCATACTTAGGTTTAATACCTCTTTATTTTTAGGAGCATTAAGCTCATAATTTTACTGATTACTAACCATCAAATATACTTTAGTCACTAGCATAGTTGAAGACTAAAGTGAACTTTTAGAAGCCAGTGTAACAGTTTTCAGTACTCTTCCTTCTAATAATGTTAGATTAGTGAAAAACTTGTTGGTATACATATACATTCATTAAATACTTACTTGTGTACTTTCAATGACCTTAAATACATGAGGAAGTGGAGAAGAATCCTTCCCCCATAAGCCATGCATGTTGAAAGAGGCAACTAAACAGCCAGGAGCAAGGGGCTAGTAATCCTTTCTCCTGCATAAATTACTAAATGTAAAATGAAGAAAAATTGTTTCTTCTTTTTCGGGACACCCTGCCTTGGTGGGAGACTGCTGTTGTATCAACAAAAAAATGTGTATATGTAATGTTTATTGCCCTTGTAGTCTTAAGTTAGGCTTAAGCTTGCCAAAATGCTTTGCATAACCATGGGTTTTCTGCATGCAGTCTAGTGTCACTCATTTCTTTATGAATATGATGTCATGTGGAAATAAACTTGGACTTTGACTCTGAATGTAGAATGCTACAAATTTCATGCAGCCAACCTCAAGGAAATGATAATATCATCATTGCAAGTTTGCAGTTAGCGCATACATTACTTAGAAATACCTAATGAAATGATTTAAACTGAAATTTTGCTCACTCCTATGATAATTTTAATTGCCTGTCTCTTAGATTTTGAATATATAAAGCCTTAGTTTAATGGCCCTCGGATATGGAACAAAATCTGCTGGATTAATTAATTCAGAAAGAAAAAGAGTGAAAAGCTCCATTGGTTACAGAATTACTTGTTATCCAGCATAATAGTATTCTTTTGTACTTCTCTGTATCATGTTCAAACAAATAAATAAATAAATAAATAAATAGCCATTACCAGCCACCCTTTTACCACAATTAGCATGGTAAAAATTTTAATTTTTTTTTTATAATTAGTTGCCCTGGCCCCTTCATTATATATACAGCCTCTCCTCACTTAACGACGGAGTTTCGCTTCTAAGACCACATCAATAAACGAATTCATTGCTAAACGAGGAACATACTATAATGGTACTAGGTTTGTGTCAACCATGTTTGATAAATCAAAATCAAATCAAAGTCAAAATCAAAATTTTATTTCTTTGCTACGGTTACAATGTGTTTACATTTCATAATTTGATTGGTACAAAGAAAGCCACTGTCATGCGAGGCATTTTGGGCAGATATAACCTAATACACTTAAAGACTACTTAAGTCTAGACAGGTGAAGAATGGTAAATTACAAATATTCAATATTTTACTCAATTATTAATATGAGGTAGTATATATTGTAATATGTATGCACAAGAAGTTCAAGGATCCCTTCATTGGCACCAAAGCATCTCACTTGAAAGAAAAGCAGAAGCTAAGATTGCTTTCTATTTACTCTCCATTGCTTATGATATTTTAAGAATATGAGAAAGGAGGAGCATTGCAACAGAGCCTACTGGCCCGTACTAGGCAGGTCCAAATCACACCTACTTAAGAAGGAAGGAGAACTGCTGTAGGCGACTGGCTGGCCTAAGCTAAGCACGTCCGATTTTGATGAGTAATACAGCTGCTCCTCGACTTGTGATGGGGTTACAGTCCGAGAAACCCATCATTAATCAAAAATATCATTAGTCGATTATGAATATGCAATAAATAAATAACTGTCTGTCACTGAATAAGTAAATAAACAAATAATTACTGTAACTATCTTATAATAATAATTCAAAACCAGTATATCCTCTCCTCACTTAACGACGGAGTTCCGTTCCTAAGACCACGTCCATAAACAAACTTGTCGGTAAGCAAGGAGCAAACTATAATGGTAGTGGGTTTGTGTCAGCCATCTTGGATATTGTTTTATTGTCACCTTTGCACCATTTATAAATTTTTGTATATTTTTAAATGTTTATACAGTAGTATACTGTATATTGTAATAAACAGAATAGAGGAAATAAGCGCTAATATACATTATTTAGGTATGCATACTGGTCAGAGAGCCCATCATAAGTCCAAGTCGTCGGTAAATGAGTACATCGCTAAGTGAGGAGAGGATTGAATTATTATTATCAAAACTAAGCACTAAACCTGCAAGGGTCATACAGCACTGCACCAGTATTCAAAAATAAATAAATGAATGCTAGTTACAGACTTGCTGCCTTCATGCTGGATAATTATCATAACTTTCATCTCCAAAGTAATTCCTTTTGGACCACCATAAAGTCAAAATATCATTAGTAGAACCATTGTAAGTCAAGGTACACCAGTATGCTTGAGCACTACAGGTGGCTGGCAAGATGGATGTCCTAAGGGAGGAGGCTGGACAAATTCTTTACAATGATACCTGTGATAATACAATAACAGTTTGATTTCATTTCATTATACAAAAATATTGCAGGTGGCTGGGACAGTGGATGCGCTTGGGGAAGAGGTCGGAGAGACGGATCTACAGCTGGGAGACAGAGTTATTGTTTACCCTTACGAAGGACATCCACCTGGGTATGGCTCTAGCTCTTGGTTTGCAATTCATCTTGCTGATGCTTCTTTATTTAATAATCCACAAACAAAAACAAGACAGCATTTTGAAACATCCTGGACCTTGATAATAGCTCAGAATGATCCAAATTGAAGTTTAGTTTTTATTTCCAGTTTGTGGACTTGAGTCCTGGAGGTGGGAGGTACAATGCCTGCACTTTAAATAAGGGGTTTAGGATATTGGCTGTTTGGAGTGACATCTAAACTGTTGTATCTGGGCACCTTTGCAAAGACAGTGATTGTGTGTGAATGATGGTGAAAATGTTGAATGATGGTAAAGATATTTCTTTCATTTTTGGGTCACCCTGCCTCGGTGGTACACAGCCGGGTTGTTGAAAAAAAAATGTGGGTTATTTGTGAATCGTTTCCCTATTGCATTGTGGCATCTAATCACTTTATGGATTTATGCATGTGACTAAGGCTTTAAGATCACTGAAATGCTTTACATTATTACTTTGGTTTTAACTAGAATATGTATTAAAAAATTGTGATACATACTTTACTTTGGCTATGCTTTAAGGCTTTTTAACTTCAAATTAAAATTATTGAAGCATCATTGCTATGCCCGAGTTTCTTTGCCATATCAGTAATGTCATTTTATTCACTTAGTATCAGAGTTAGCACTTCAAAGAAAAATAGCCGTTTTAATTTTATGATAAATCAGACGGTCTTTAATTCAGTCGTGACTCACGAAATGTAATAACACAGAATGGGTGGGGATTGAACCCATGGCAAGTGAATCCTAAAAGTCTAGGCACTGGCCTGGAGTTATAAGACTCACGTAAGTTCAGTCTCCACCTGTTCCATGGTTTAATTCTGTCACTTTGAAAGTAGCACAGTGACCAGTATTACAATTAGTGTATTATAATCATAACTAAGTGCTAAACCCAGAAGGGTAATACAGCACTGCACAGTGACATGTAGCTTAGTGGTAGGCCAGCTCACACCTGAAAAGACTTCAGGCAAGGCGAGGTGCGTGGGTTAGTTACTGTACACCTGCTGTCCTGCTCACATAGCAGTAAATAGGTACCTGGGTATTAGTAGAATATTGTAGTTAGTATCCTGTGGAAAAGGGTAGTATGCCCTAGGTGTGCTGGGGTTGATATTAGCTGAGGAAATAAAAAAAGCTCTTAGCTTGTAGTTTTAATATTTTCATTGAGTATTTTTCTGTGAAAAATGTTTAACAATGCATATTATTTGTGATAGATAAAGTATTTTAATATATATTAAAATGGCTCCATGGGGAAGTGGAAAAGAATCCTTCCTCTATAAGTCATGTGTGTCGTAAGAGGCGACTAAAATGCCAGGAGCAAGGATCTAGAAACCCTGTCTCCTGTATAAATCATTAAATGTAAAAAGAAAAACTTTTGTTTTTCTCTTTGGGTCACCCTGCCTTGGTGGGATATGGCAAGTTGATTGAAAAACTTTCATTCTTCTTTTAGGTCACCCTGCCTCAGTGGGAGACAGCCAAGTGTTAAAAAAATATATTAAAATGGATATAGTCTTCAACTTCTTGTACTGTATATTACTGTTCCTCAGGTAATATGTGAACATGCAATCACCATCAAAGAATTCATTGTAGTCGATATTAGAAAAATGGTAAAAATGTTTCTTTTTTTGGGTCGCCCTGCCTCGGTGGGAGACGGCCAGCATGTTGAAAAAAATAATAAAAATATTTGTTTTCCTTAATATTATCATTGTTTTGCAGATATGCTGAGTACATTGCCGTGCCTGAAGTGCAATACCTCATTAAGATTCCCGACGACATGAGTTTGAGCGTAGCAGCCATGTTGCCCTCTGGCGCTTTGTGGGCTATGAACACTGTGTTTAGTGCTCACATCCATGTAGAGAAGGTGCTGGCAGAGAAAGGGGAAACAGGTGAGCAATAATCTAGTAATATAGGGAGATTTATTGACAATATGTTAGGTTACTGACAGTATGTTAGGTAAAAGGACACATGTGCAGGTAATGTGATATTTTATTGTGGCAACATTTTCTCTCCAGAAGCTTTGTCAAGCCTATACAAAGCACCTTTGTCAAGCTTTTGCAAAGCACTTTTGTCAAGCCTTTGCAAAACACCTTCATCAAGCCTTTACAAAGCACCTTTGTCAAGCCTTTACAAAGCACCTTTGTCAAGCCTTTGCAAACCACTTTTGTCAGGCTTGACAAAGCTCCTGGAGAACAAAATGTTGCAACAACAACAATAATAATAATAATAATAATTATAATAATAATAATAATATAATAATAATAATAATAATATATTTACTACAAGTATATGTACAAGGTATACAGGCCTAGCTGACATCACTGACATACTACTATATAGAAAGCCACTTGTTATGCAGAGCATTTCGGGCAAATTGAGTCAGTTTTTTCTCAGGATGCGACCCACAACAGATACCCCTTTTACTGATGGGTGAACATAGACAACCAGTGTAAGAAAACACGTCCTATGTTTCCACCCCTTTGCTGGGAATCGAACCTGGACTCTCACCGTGTGAAGAGAGAGCTTTTGCCACCAGGCCATGGGGCACATAAGTTGCACGTGTCTTTTGCCTAACAATTCTCTCGTATCTTCTAAGTTGGCCTTTGTTTGATGGTAGAGTACTTGCCTCATAACCTAAAGGCAGTACCAGATCAAGAAATTTGGGCTTCCCAATCAGGCTTATATTTTGGCAGTCTTACAGACCTGTACCAGTATTCCTTAAAATATTTTTTCATCACTTCTGTAGTGGATGCAGATAAAACTGGCTTTTCTATCATTTGTATATCACTCTTATTTTATATTTGTGCATGTAATATAACATGTTAATTTGCTGTGCACGGAATTTTTTGTAGTTCTTTCTGGGTTTCATTATTGGTGCCCCTTATTGGTCAGCACTCTGGCTAATTCATCTCTTAATTCAGATATGATCCTGTGTTTTATTCCTAGGAAGTGAGGATTTTTTTTATTCAGATTATTAACCCTGAAGGGTTAGTTACCCAGGATTATCCAGAAAATTCCATCATTGTGTGTTATTTCAATTAAGGTCCATTAGTTTTCTTCTCAAGAATGCGATGAGTAACACTCGGTTCACACCCAGGTACTCATTTAGGGTGCTGCCAATAAACTTGCGTTACATGGATAACCCACACATAGGAGAGAGAGAAAAGCTCATGATGACGCTCGGTCCATCTTGGTTGTCATAAGCTTTTCTCTCCTATTTTCAGAAAAGATATTCATGTTGCATATTCTCTTGCCATTCAGTTAAATTCATGAATATATTTAATTGTTCACAGGTCACTGTAAGATACTGTTAGTGGGGACTGGTGGCCTTGCACTCTGGGCAATGAGGATTGCTCGCTTCTACTGGCCAGAAAAGCGAGAACGTATCAACATTAATGTGGCATGTCTCAGAGATGAAGGAATTTCTATTGCACAAGAATACCTGAAGTAAGTTTTTAAAAATAGCGTTAGTATATACATCAGTATACAGTGGACCCCCGCATAACGATGGCATCGCATAGCGATTTTTCCGCATAACGATTACTTTTATCGCAAAATTTTTGCCGCGCATACCGATTAAAAACCCGCTTACCGATTTTCGTCCGAGACGCGTCCAATGTGCCCTCAGCCAGCCTCACATGTGCCGCCCCGTCCCATTGTTTACCAGCCAGCCTCCGCGGTAACATCCAAGCATACACTCGGAATATTTCGTATTATTACAGTATTTTCGGTGCTGTTTCTGGAAAAAATAAGTGACCATGGGCCCCAAGAAAGCTTCTAGTCCCCAACCCTGTGGTAAAAAGGGTGAGAATTAGTATGGAAATTAAGAAAGATTTTGAAGGGTTTTGGGGCTAACCCTGAGAAGCCTATGCCAGTTGTGGAATCCATTGGCCTACTTCAAAGATTAAGGAAATGTGTGCACAGTGGGTTGAACTGCAAACCTTTATAGATGAAAATCACCCTGACACAGCTGTTGCAAGCCGTGCTGGTGACTATTTCAATGACAATGTTATGGCCCATTTTAGACAAATCGTAAAGGAACGGGAGGTACAGAGCTCTATGGACAGATTTGTTGTGCGACAGAGGTCCAGTGACTCTCAAGCTGGTCCTAGTGGCATTAAAAGAAGAAGGGAAGTAACCCCGGAAAAGGACTTGCTACCTCAAGTCGTAATGGAAGGGGATTCCCCTTCTAAACAGTAAGAAGATAATGCTCTCCCCTCCTCCCATCCCATCAATCATCACCAGATCTTCAATAAAAGTAAGTGTCATTTAATTGTGCATGCCTTTTTCAGTTTGTGTGTATTAAAATTAACATTTCATGTGGTAAAAAAAAATTTTTTTCATACTTTTGGGCGTCTTGCACGGATTAATTTGATTTCCATTATTTCTTATGGGGAAAATTCATTCGCATAACGATTATTTCGCATAACGATGAGCCCTCTTGCACGGATTAAAATCGTTAACCGGGGGTCCACTGTACATCGTATTGAATGACATTTTAATAACATCTTTAACAGATAACTTATAAGTAGACCTCCATTACACTTTGTTATTAATATGCTACATTTTATTATACCGTGTATACATATTAGTCTCAAATACTTACAAATGCTTGGGAGCAAGGGGCTAGTAACCCCTTCTCCTGTATATATTACTAAATGTAAAAGGAGAAACTTTCGTTTTTCTTTTTGGGCCACCCTGCCTCGGTGGGATACGGCTGGTGTGTTGAAAGAAAGAAAGAAGACTTACAAATGCTGATTAAAGTTGCTAACTAAAGGATGTCCTTTCCCACAAGGAAAATAATAAATAAGTTTATTTAGGTACAGATACAAAATAAGTAGAGTTATCATACATATGTGTAAATTATGTACTTTTCATAAATTAAGTAATTTTCTTTGGGTGAGTTAAACCTCTGGTTGTGTAATTAGTAAATTAAATGAAGCAAAGTTGTAACGCAGCAGTTCTTGATGCTCCAGGGTGAACGTTGTCCAGTGGAATGAGGACCTTTACGAGGAACAGTTGGTGGAACGCACCAAGGATGCCTGTGGAGGTCCTGTCGACATTGTCATTGACTTCAGTGCCACTTCTCGCTCTATTCGTAGGGCTCTCAAGTGCCTTGCTCCCGTAAGTGCTCATTTAAACTTTGGAGGTGGGAAGTTCAATGCCGGCACTTTAAAGGAGGGGTTTGGGATATTGGTTGTTTGGAGTGATATCTAAACTGTTGTATCTGAGTGCCTCTGCAAAAACAATGATTATGTGTGAATGATGGTGAAAGTGTTTCTTTTTGGGTCACCCTGCTTCAGTAGGAGATAGCCAATGTGTTAAAAAAAATAATATTGCTTATTGGTGGGAGTGGTTTTGTTTAAAGAACTTATCTTGAAGAAGAGAAGTGTGAGGAATGAAGTATATATCACTTTCTAGTTACTTTACCTGAAGTGTTCCCTTCAAGTGGGTCTTGGAACCTTGGTCACCCAAGATGTCCCAGGACAAACACATTTACAGTAAATACTGTATGTCCTAGTGATTACATTTGGTGTTTTTCTCAGACATCACTTCTGCATTGTGTTTCCTGCTACCACACAATCTTCTATTTTCTTTCACTTCTTATTTTCTGCATAATAGTATTCTCACCTCACATCGATCTCAGATAATACATGCAATATACTAGCCCCTTGTTCCCAGCATTTTAGTCACCTGTTATCACATGCATGGCTTATGGAGGAAGAATTCTTTCCCACTTCCCCATGGAAAATGTAATATAGTAAATATATTTGTTAATCTTGCAGGGTGGTGTAATGCTCATGAGTTCGGAACATGCACAGGGGCTAATTACTCGTTTTGGACCTGTAGCCGAGAAGGAAAATCACCAGCTTGTACCCATTGAATTTGGTACTCTAAATCAGCTACGGAATCTCGTGCATCTTGTTTCTACAGGAGAGGTAAGGAAAAATGCCCTGTATACTATTATTATTATTATTATTATTTGTAAAACCTATTTCTATTGAATTACTACAAGGTTAATTAACACACTGGCCCACCCCACAAAAGTGATCAATTCTTATGCCAGAATCAAGCAAACTGTGCCCCCAAGAGTTCAGGATAACTGGGCACAGTATTACAAATCATATTTCCTACTACTCCAGTACAGCTAGGGTTCTGTTAGTGGGTCATGTAACCCCCATAACAACTTAGTGAACATGAAAGTTCATACCTGTCACATACCTGTGATTGGTTTCAAGAGATTTCCCCTCAGCTTGATTTGGGGCCATACTTTCCTGTTGATTGCTTGTTTAGCTAGATCATTTCTGTTGGTGGCCCACTGGCCCACATAACTATCACAGCCTAATTGATCTGGCACTTTGCAAAAGCAGTGGTTCAGTTTCCTCTTGAAGACTTCCACACTTCTGGCATTATTTCCAATATCTTCTGGTAACAGGATGAGCAGTTCTTGAGCCACGGTTGTGAAGCATTGCTCTCTTATTGTGTCAATAGCCTCCCTCCTTTTCACTGAGTCTATTTTACACTTCCTTCCATATTTCTCACTCCACTGTGTTATGGTAATATTGTATGTGGATTTGGGACTAGGCTCTCAAGTATCCATGTATATATTATCAGGTATATCTTTTTTCTTTACTCCAGAGAGTACGTTCAAAGTACTGTACTTTGAGGCATTACAAGAATACTGTGGTTTAAATGCTTTATCGGCTCTTTGAGGACAATAAGCAATCTCTGTAACTTTTCCAGCTCTGATATATCTTCTGCCTTGAAGGAGCCATGTATACTGATGAGAGAGCACAAGTGATGTGTCATTTTTTCTCTCATTTTGAAAGTTCTCGTTATCCGTCTTGTCATTTTTCCATCCTTCGAAGCATATGATAGATAGATAGATTTAAAATGATAGATAGATATGATAGATAGGAGGAGTTTGAGATATTGACCATTTGGAGGGACATCTAAACTGTTGTATCTGAGTGCCTCTGCAAAGACAGTGATTGTGTATGAGTGATGGTGAAAGTGTCGAATGATGAAAGTTTTTTCTTTCTTTTTGGGTCACCCTGCCTCGGTGGGAAATGGCTGATGTGTTAAAAAAAAAAGATTATGTGACATTATTATGCCCAAATCTTTTAAGTGTTCCTTTCATTCTATGAGATGATACCTCATTTTTTACATATGTGAGTATGTAGTTACAATTTATCATCATTGAATGTTGTTATTTTGCATTGCCTACTGAAAAGCTTTGTCGCTATCTATTTACATTTTTTCAGTTTCTTCTATCATCTGCTGAGGCTGATGCAGAGCTGTGACAAATGTGTTTATCTATGTTTGCAATGAGGATGAGAAATGGTATAGGCACCAGGACTGTGCCTTGGGGTACTGAAATTTTTGTTCTGCTAGGAGTTCAATTTTGCTTTGCTTCCTTTAGTACTGTTTGTGTTCTATTCATTAGAAAATTAAATATGTTGTATGGCCAAATCCAGTCAATTAATGATTAAGATCTAAGGCTCAAGAGAAAATGCACATGATTATTTAATAGTGCGGTACATATATTGTTTACTATTTCCCATACCACATGAGCAGTGCTTATGTGAAGAATAAAATTGCTTTCATGAATTAAATGTTTTCCTGTGCATAAGCATGTTAGATAGGAGCGTGTGGAGGCAAATGGTTTTTATGACTTCACATACTGTTGGAGTGTGAGCAAAGTAACATTTATGAAGGAATTCAGGGAAACTGGTTAACCAGACTTGAGTCCTGGAGGTTGGAAGTACAGTGCCTGCACTCTAAAGGACGGGTGAAGATATGTTGCAGTTTTTGAACTGTAGTGTAGGCATGCTTCTGGCAAAACGGTGATGGAGTGAATGATGATGAAAAAAGAATCTTCTTTTTTGGGTTACCCTGCCTTGGTGTGAAATGACAATGTGTAATAAAAAATTAATTTTACTTTACATTGAGCTCCACCACACAACCATATCTAGCTGACCAAGCCAAAAGGCCTGCGAATTGGCCGAGGTCTCATCCCTGGCAGGGCCATTCTGGAGTTTCCTGAAGATGATGAAGAATCTGAAGAATAAACTCATTCATGAAGACTTCACACATAATTTAAATGTGCACTGAGGATGTACTGTACTGCAAAGAGTCTTCAAATAATAATGATCCTCAGAGACCTTACTTCATGAAGGCACCTTCACGAAGATCTTTTGACTTCATTATTGCTGAGCCTTGTACAGATAACTATTTTCTCTCCACAGAGATCCTCTGCATTTAATTCAAAAGATACTCTAACCGGTATCTTAAACTCAACATCACATAGAAATATCTTTTTACTCGAATATTTTGTTACTGATGAGAGTACTGCTTAACACAAGAATATGAATTCAAAGCAATGTCGAGGACTTCCTAATCCTAATTTTGGTGGAGTTCTGCAGTAGTGAATAACTGCTTTAAAGGAGAAGGAGACTAGATGTGCGATTTAGGAATCATGACTTATTTTTTAGTGTATAGTGTTAGTTGTGCTTGAAAAGTTTAATCATCACTGGTTCAGAAAAAAAATTAACACTGGTTGATAACTTCAGGACACTTCACAGAGTATCATTGTGAATAGATATTTGTTATATGGTTATGAATGTGCTGTGTAAAGCATTGCAAGGAAAGCTGCTTTCAGTCATGATGTTTAATTAAGGCTCAGGTCTATACAATGTTTGTTCTTCCTTTGCCATTGCTGCATCAATTATGCAAAAGTTTTCCATGTCATTTCAGAATAGAATATGATTAAATGCCAAAGTGACACAGCAAGTTTTATATACTACTGTAATAAATTTGCACAAGATTATTGTTCAAAAATAAATATATAGTTCATGACAATGGCACAGAAGGAGATTTGTCAGCTTGGTCACTTGCATATTGTAAGAATAATAATTGTAAATACGTACTGAGTTTGAGATGGTTAGAACAATCATTTTGGACTCGATTGTGGTTGAAGCTAACCACAAAAATACTGACTTATAAGGCTGTGATAGAGACATTTGTATTCACTTTAAATGCTCACAAAGATCACCTGCATTTCTCTTATATATACCCATATGTGCTAGCAATAGTGTGGCCATGGCACCTGTATTAATGTAACGTCAAGCGGCAAGGCTCACTACCCCCAAAAAATTTAGATGCAGTGTTTTTGCAGTTATTGTTTTGATATCAGCAAATGGGGTCCAGTTGTGCCAATATCCTTAATGAATGTTTATTATTCAATTAAGCCTCAAGTATAAGGTGGTTATATAGATACTGATGATATATGTTTATTTATTTTATATGACTGTTAAATATCTAATAGCGTGGTACATAAAAATTACATATAATAAAATGTAATGCATTTCAATATTTTTTCAGAATTTGCTTTCTAAATATAGTAAGCACCTTACTTAAAATTATCAAGAAATTTTTGTTTTTTCAGCATATGTACATATGCTATATATGCAGTACTGTATATACATATACTGTATATGTTTACATGTATATGCAATATTTATGTATTTATTGTTTTTCTTCTTTGTATAACAATTGATGCTAGCAGCAGAAAACCTGGACAACAGTGCCACCTTAGAGAAGCTCCACAGTACTGGCCACAGTCTGGTCCACTTTACCTCAAGCAGCACAAGAGCCTTGTGTCTTGTAGCCTATGGCTAAGTTCCTTGTGGCATTATTTGCACAAGCCTGCAGAGTTGAGCCCTTTGTGAATGTGACTCATACATAGTCATGTCAGAAAAACAATGTCTGGTGTTTTAACAGTTTTTAAGCTTTATGTAATGAACCAAAACGGTAATGGTTTATTTGTATCTCACCTCATCCTTTGACAAGGTATATTTTCTTAACATTCCTTAGCGTGATCTCTTAAATATTCTAGAACTGTTACAAAGACCCCATGTTTTCCTGTCACCAAAGTATTCAGATCTATTATGTATGTGTAGCAGAGTAGGCCTACAGTGTTGTGGCTATTGTGGCAGTGGTGACTTATGTGGTGTACCAATTTGGTCCTCATAATAGTGAACTCGTATTTGGCTGGTATAATAGGTATAATGATTTTCATTACAATAAAATATTCAAGCTGTCAGAAATTCAATCATCCCTAATGGGTGCTGTTTGCACTAAAGAATTAATTAAGCCTCTTACAGTCAAACCTATTCAGGAAAAAGAGCCATATTTTTTTGTACTTGATTTTATTTTAAGTAAATCCGAGCAGTCGTTATTGTAACTTCAATAGATAATGCAGTCTTTATGTATATCTGTTGGAGGCAAGAGAAGCCGTGTAAGTAAACAAGGCAATGTATTTATCAAACTGGAATGACTCTACAGAAGTTTCATTGATAATGTATATGTTGTAATTAACTATGTTGTATCATACAGTTGTCTTTACTCTGCACAGATTATTGTACACTGTCTGCATATAACTGCATTGTCATAGACTTCTGAAGAAGACAGCTTTATTCAGTTTATATATACGTACACTTGTAGTATATAGGAGTATGATACTAAAGATTAGCAGAGTAATATGTATTGTACATGTATCAAAAAAGATCAATCAATCATGTATAGTCAAATAAAAAATGAAATTCAAAAATAATAAGTGCTTTCATTTTATTACTATTACTTAAACCAAATTAATGCATTCTTATATACTGTGTATATACTGTACACATACAAAGTTAGGTTCATTTTCTTTTATATGATTTCAAAATAGTTTTGTTGATTGCATCATGATACACCTTTATTTTCTTCACCTTTATCATTATCTAAATTGTTTCTTGAAGGAGGATGCCAGTGTAAAGCTCTTGATCCTGGGAATTGAAGCTACCCACCATTTCCCTTGATTGCTCTCATTCTGCAGATGCTATATGGCCCACTATGGGTTTAGTGCTTTAACATACATATACGAATAGCTGTACTA